TTTGTGCAGGTCTACGATTTTGTTCCCGGTGTCCTCTGATGACAGCTCTTTGGTCTTGCCGATGGTGTAGGAGAGGGTGGAAAAGAAGAAATTGATTCTGTAGACAGGTGTGCTTTATACACATAACAAATTGAGATCAGGAATATCTGTAATTGATTAACTGACTGCAATCACTAATCTGTGGGAGCTAGAATTCTGTTTGGGTTGTAGGGGATCAAATACTTATTTCACGTATTGACATGCAAATCAATTTATAGCTTTGAGATTTTGGGTTGATGTTTTGTCTCTCTCCATTAAAATGAGATGATTTATTTCTTTGTAAGTGAGAAAACTTCCAAATTCAGCAGGGGCAACAAATAATTATTTCTCTCACTGTATGTAAATCTCTGTCAACTAAAAATGTGATGTCTTCCCTGAATTAATTCCTGGCTGTTGCAATGGTTGACAGTGCTAACAGTGACTCATTCCACAGAGTATTTCATTTTCTTCTGCTTTTCTACCCTATAATGGTAGCAGGAATGTATGTAGCTTAACAGCACAAACACTCAAATAAGCTGATATTCTCCTACAAATGCCAGTATGGCCACTGTGTACAATACCTGAGACTTTGACCAAGAATAACCTCACAAACAGAGCCTGGTAGTAGTTGGAAAAATAAAATAGAGGCATCAACACTGCAGACAATGAAGTTAATAAAAAGGAGGTCTCGTTAACTTTCATTGCTTTGAAGCTCTGGATTGAACAGTTCCACAATTCACTGTGCAGAAAGCCCCAAACAGCTGTGTTTGCAGCAGAGTCATCTTTACTTAAGCAGCAAAGTGCATTTCTCACTGAAAGCTAATAATCTAAGCTAAGTTCAGGGATCATAGAGGAAAAACAAACAGAGTTCTGGGTTTTATTGAATAATTTTTAAGTTCAAAAAAGAGCAAGAATATTAAACTATGGAAATCGAGGTGCAGGAGTGGGGAGGAAATAAGAGTTTGTCCCAAGTCTCTGCTTTATTTTGATTGTTATAATGGACAGAAGTGCAGGTAAAAGCATAAAATAATTAATGCTGGGTAAATGTTTTAGGAAAATGTATTGCAATCAGTCACTACCCATATGGAAAAGAAATAGTAAAAACATATATGATTTACTCATGAAAGTGGCCACTTTCATGAGTAAATCATATATAAATTATATAAGGCTTACACGATTTACTCATGAAAGTGGCCACTTTCTCATTACTTTCATATATTTTTTTAGTAAGTATCCAAAACATACAAGTTTCATTATATAATTTCATTATATAATTTTTCAATTATATGTGTTTTCACTCTTGTACGCTTTTCATACAAGTTTCATACAAGACAGATACAAACTTTATAAGATTTATATATATCTTTTCCATATGGGTACCTTTTTGATCCACACATATCTAAAAAGCTTTGTATCTTCCCTGCGATCCTTTGCCTTCAGTTTTGCTCTGTGTAAGGGGAGTAGACTCCCCCATTTATGGCACACAGGTTCTGTGCAATCAGTTCAAAGAACTTTGTCGCAGAAATCTGCTGGTTTCTTTTTCTGGCTTGTCATATTTTGGTGAAACTGGTCATATTCTTTCCTGGTAAACTCACCTATAATATTTTAGTTTCATGACAGGAGTTTTACTATTACTAGTTTTTAAAAAAAAAAATCTTATAAGAATCATATTCTCATTTACATTTGGTTTGGTCACCTCTTTTCTTCTCATATTGATAAGACTGCTACACCTAAATGAAAACTTTTGGACATCATTTTTGTACTTGAACCACACACATCGGCAAAAAAACACCCAATAACCAAACATAACAAGTGCCAAATTACTTCTGCTAGGCAGAAGGGCTGTATTTCACTTATGTGCAGTGATAGAAACCCAAGAAAAGCCAAAGAAAGTCCAGACACTCTGGTTATGAGATAAAGTTAGCAATACTCATATGTAAAGTAGCAATGACATGCTTATATTTGTTAATTGCCCCTTGGGGATAAATAAAGTCTTTCTGATTCTGATTACATTGTAGACCAGGGCCCATGAGAAAATAGCAGAAATACCAAAACCTGCGTACACCATACAAACACATTGTCCCTTCTATGTAACTTGCCTGCTAGGTGGTCTAATGACACATATTCCAGTAAGTAATTCCGAGTCTTAGATGGGGCCGTATCCGTGATCCTAAAGGACACACCTCCTTACACAGAACATTAAAAGCCTGTAGAGCTGCTTTCCAAACTTCCCTCTGATTTTGTCATTCGCCATTCCGAGTAGAATACACACTGGATTACATTCAGTGTCAGTAGAAAATATCTTATCTGGTTCATACTTTATAACACATTACTGTATTTCAAACTGAAAGTGCTGAAGCACATTCAAAAGAATTTTTTTTTCTGCTCTTGCTCTTGACGAAGGTGGTCGCACTTTTCTCCT